TTATCGAAGCTCCGGCCATTTCGGTCGGTCGTATGCTTTGACTCACTCGCTGATATGGCTGCAGCTCGTTTATCAAAGCATCCCTCTTGATTGGTAACTCTCTTCTTTACTGGCGATTTTCCGCACCTTCCCCCTTTTTCTCACCTTCGTGGGGAAGGAGAGACTAGGGGAGAAACAGTAATCGAAGCTGGTGGATTTGTCTTGCAATGGAAACTGGAAAGCCACGTGAATACGATGTATCTGGATCAGGAAATGGTTCTTCACGGACTTCCCTGGCGCGTGCGTGAACTATGGAGGGTAAATTCGTCCAGTTGGACACTTTATATCTTGTTTGCCTTGCCTCCCCTGTCTCCAGGTATGGATGGGACCTCCCTGTCACCGACTCTCCCGAGCCAGACCCACCCAGAAGCTTCAAAGGAAATAATAGTTTTAAATTTTATTTTTGAAAATCTCCCTTTTTATTTTTTTTCAGCATCCGATTTTTTTGGTATAATATATAGGACAGAGAATCAAACTTACCGTCTTTGGTTGGAGATATATGTCAATTGCAAAATTTGTGGTGGAATTGGAGTTTTTTTCTTCTTAAAAATTTGTCTTTTTTAAGACCAAGAGTAATTTCTTAGACTTGAGATGACGTAGGATGAGAGTTCAATATTTTTATTTAGTTAAATGGTTAATTTTAATTAACTAGTTTTTATTAACTTGTTACTTAGTATTTTGTATTCAATTACTTATCTCATTTTCTTGCCATTTGAAATGTAATAAAAAACTTTCAAATGTTATTTATTGAAATGGATTTAGAGAAGTTTTCTCTCAAAATTTTGGGACTTTTCACTTTGTTTGGCGGTGGATTTGGTACAAAAAATCCACTGCATCATGAAAACTAAATCTTTTAGTCAATTTGAATTATGCCTGTTGCTGTAAACTCTCCATCAACAGCAACTTAAATTCCAATGATCCTTTAACAGTCAGGATCGCCCACTTTCATCCAATTCCCTCTTTTTGGTTTTGCTAGTGCCCAAAAATATACTTGCATAATTTGATATTGCACTTCCAATTTCTCATTCTATTCCTTGCCAGGAACTTTGAATCCTACTGTTGCTTTCAACTACTACTTTTGAATTTGATACTTATTCTTTTTTCCTGATTTTCATTCTTTTTTACTAGATTTCATTAATAAACACACCAGGGGGACTCGTCTGCACAATCACGATGATTGCAAGTTGGCTATTGCCTTCTGGGATTTGGATTGTTCTCCTGCTACTGACCAATAGTGTGGTACAGGCAACAGGCAGCAAGCATCTGATATTGAAATAGAAAATCCTTGCAACCTGGTAACATCTCAAGTCCCAATATACTTTTCGCTTGAAAGTTACGGTGCATTTAAATTTTACATGCGTACTTCAGCAAGCGTGTGAATGAGGGAACCTACCTAACTGCTACCACTATCAGTTGAAACTTGAAAGTTCACTTAGAAACCCTATAATTCTTCAGAATTTCATTTCCATTTTCCAACACTAATTTATTCCGTATGTGTTAGTCAACCAAGTACAGGAGCAGCACCTGTGCCCAACTGCTGTTGGTATGTCACTTGGGCTCTTTTTGACGCCCCTGGACTGCATAACCATGTAAATTGTCCCCCTCAATTTCTTTTTCTGTTATGTTTACGTCATTGGAGAGCATCTCACATTTAGTATCTCAAGAACAAATTAAGTTTTGGTTGATTTTTTAGAAAAGAAGAAACGGAAAGTATTTTTTATATAGTTGTATAGTTGTTCTCTGTTCGACAAATGAATAATTGTTTTACACTTAATGACAAGTAGAAATTTAATGGCTAGAGGACAAAATCAAGCAGCAAATATTCTTGCCTATTTAGCACAAAAAATTGTTAGTAACTTGGTACGTACGAAATGTTTCAACTCTTAGGAATATATAGTTATTGGTGATTTTAGACTTTACAGATTAGCATTTGTTCGATAAGAATATAATAGACTTTAAATCATCAATTACCTTTAAATATACGCACGCATTTATCATACTTCAGCCCTATTCCTATGTTGGGCCTGGTTCACTTGGATACGCATCTTGTTTGACATACGGACATATAGTGATATATTGATATATATGTATGTTTTATTATACGTGTTGTATAAAGGTCATGGACTAAAGGTACTTTCTTTGCCTCAATTCTTTTGGCCTGGGAGGAGCAGAGCATCTAAAGCTCCCTTTATAAAGCATCAAATAAATCATAATGAATTCTATACTCATCCATAACAGGGAAAAGTTATTTGAATGATTGGCTTTTGGTGTAGACTAAATTGGGACGGTCATTCGAATAAATCTCATGTTGGGTGGTCATTGCTGGATTCTTAATATTATTTTATGTTATCCAATTGATAGTATGTGGTATATGTGTGTGATTTGTGGGCATCCTCATTGCTTCGAAAATTGACTACTTAAGTTGATTATGTGCTTCTCCAAATAAAGGTGTGGGGCTTACATATCTTTATGTGGATTGGATTATTATCCATTTTTATGCTGGTCAGCTTGCCCCTACATTTGATACTTTTTTTATATGTAAAACATATCTTCTTGACGAATGACTCATCCCTATCAAAACATCACTGCAAGTGACATGATTACTTTCTCCATTGTCAAATCGCAGGTCCCTTCTGTATTTTTACTGCACAGGAAACTTGATTTACCTCATTCTTTAGAAAAGTGCTTTTACACTTGATGTTCTCGGTACGTAGCTTTTGGGTGAATTTAACTGCTTACGAGCTGCGACCAGCACCATTAAGTTATCATTTTCCAATGATTTAGTCAATTTTGATAATTGAGTGAGGGGATTGTTTGGACTCCGTTTTGCAAATAGTATTTCGTTTTATTTACAGAAACAAACCTGTGATCAGTCTGGAAACTGGAAATTAGATTTTCCTTTTTGTCGATGTTTAGTGAGATAGGATAGGACACAATGATAAATATATACAGCATCATTATATCCAGTCCCCATCTTGCTTATAGGACCCAACTTGGTGATATGTACTTACACTGTTCAGCTCGAGTCATGGTTTAGTGATGTTTTTTTTCCGTACAACAAGTAGAGGTGAAGTTTCAAACTCAAGATCCTTTGGATGAAGATAAATGTCTTAACTTGTTGAACTCAAGTTGACGTTTAATGATGCAAGTGACTTAATTATTATTATAATTTTGTGCAAATTTAATAATGATTACATTCGACCATATAGACTTGACATATTAATCATTGTTTTATATGATCTTATGGGTAACTGTTAAATTGGTACATTGATAATTGATCTAACGTGTATATTTTCTTTGTCAACTTGAAGTGGTACTGGTAAATATTCTTCACCTTCCCGGAGTTGGAGATTTGACCAGCGATTGACTTCTCTCCCTTTTGCTGTGAATGAATGTGCCAGATTATTTTAAGGTAATTATTCTTTTATTCTTCCTTCACACCGTAGCCTGCTGTTGTACTTATCCAATCTGATATATATCATCTCGTGACACGTGGCCCAATAAATAGGGCAGAAATCTGATAGAAAAAAATGACACTCATTGATTCGCTTTGAAAGCACTACTTTGAATGGGTAGTTGGAAGGAAAGTTTTGCAACCTTATCCTAAGGAGAGGAGCGTGGGATTCTATATTGGGATTAGGTTCTTGGCGTTGTTGGGGACCCGAAACGGATTGGTATAGTATAGGTGTAGATATGATGTTTTGGATTTTGGTGGTGGCAGAAACTAGGAAGAATGTATATTCGGGTAAAACGACATATTTGTTTATTGGTAAATTAGGATGGGCGACAGAACTAAGTGTCACACATCAACTACTACTCCACAGCCACTCCCCACCTGTTTGTCGAAATATATTTAGGTGCTGTGTGTTTATTTCTTACTGACTACCATTAGATTTTTTTTTATATATAAATTGGATAGAAGACTAGCCTCATTAGACCGTACATCTTTCTTGGTATATCCAGATAATAGGTAGGAGCATAAACTGAAACATTCTGGAGCTACAAAGATAGTTATTAAATCATTAGCACCGCATAAAAACATTCCTCCTAGAGTAGCTGTTAATACGAATAACAGAAACTCTGTTATAGCCATTTCTGTACATTCAATGTACTCTACGGATAGAGGAATACATAGAGTTGAACATAGTAAAATAAGAAATTGAAAGATTTCGTTGAAATTGTTCGTTTGGAAATTTCCCGAAAAGCTAATCATAGGTTCTTCTCTCCATCAGAACAATAGGGCCGTTATGCTCGGTAAAAAAGACCTATCTTGTTTATTTTCTTAAAAAATTATGATTTGTTTGGTATGCAATCTAGATTAGTTGTTTTAAGATTCACTGAATCTAATGGATCGTGTTTTGTAGATTTGTTTTAAAAAATTGTTTTCAGCGTAACAGTGGAAATTATGAACATAGTTTTTTAGTATTTTATGTTTTTAGATTATGAATTTGAAACTTTAAAATACAGAAAAATATAAAAACTTTGTGTTTTTTTTTAAGGAAAAATTTCTGTGTTTTTTAGGGTCAGCAAAAATGTAAACAGGGAGTATTTTTTTTTTAGGAAAGAAAAGTAGGGAGTATTATTCATCCTTTAAATAACTTTCTTGCTCTCTCAAGTCCCAACTGCCACATATTTTTGCCTCGCGTGGCATACGGATTGGCTCAAATAAAGTTGCTTTTGTTCTTGGGCCTCGATGTCAATTCGGCTGGACTTGGACCTTAAGAAGACACCATAAATTATGGAGTTAATCTTCGTAGGACTGTTTTATAAAGTTATTTTTACAAATATTAAAGTTTTCTAAATTTTACTTTTTTCTGCATGTAGTATTTTTTTATAATACGCCCATACCAATTTTCAACCGTAATCCCTTAATTCATTCATAAATTTTCTTATCATGATTTCTTCTCAAGATTTTGCAGTATTAATTACGACCCACGATTTACCAATATTAATTACAAAAAGATACAAATTTTGTTAGTTGCATAAGGAAATTTGAGAAAGAAGTAAAATTCAATAATCAAATTCATTAGTTGCATGTAATTGTTTTGGCTGGGGATTAGAAATTGGAAAGGAGAGGGTGGTAGACAGCATTAGGGTTTTAGCAATTGCATGTAAGAATTTCGGTTGCTGCTTAATAATATGGCTTCTTCTTTAATTTTTTTTGTGTGAAGAATATTCTTCCATATGCTTTCCTTTGATTGTAGAATATAGAAGCATTGATTTAGTAAAAGTTTGGTACTTTACTTTCAAATGTTTTTATTTTAACATGTTCAACATAAACCAATCTTTTGCTTCCTTTGCATTAGTGAAAATAAGCAGACAGATATATTATGAAGTATAACATCACAAGCTTTCAGCTGCAATAGAATTGGATTATATTTTTCAATTTGATACTTAATAATAGATATAAAATACATCTGGATATAAACTTATTTGGTGACATTAACATAGGAAATGCAATCAAATACAATTAAAAATAAACCTATAATATAAATATAAAATATATCCTGTTGATATTCAAAAGTAGAAAAAGGTTTTTCCACTCCACTCTAATAAGTTTCCATAAACATTTTCATTGATGTTTTTATGAATAAATCAACCAGCCAATTAGTTCGATAGTCTAACTATTATTCTCATGGAATAACAACATTAATGACCTTGTGAGATCACAAGTTCTATATCTGCAAAATTATGAAGTTTTAACCATGGTGAAAGCAAATCTCTTTAACTATTCCTTCTATACTAATTGGATATTTGAGGTTATGTTTTCAACTTTTGCTCATCTCCATTATGTGTAAGATACTGTTTATATTTTATTATCCGAATATAATCTTTTACTATTGCATATGAAATATAGCTCAAGTAACAAACAAAACTCAAAAGACTATCAAATATACCTCAAGAATTGACCAAAATATTCTACACATGCATCAGAGTACAAGACAAAATCGAAGACACCTAATATTGAAGGTATACAAGAAATCACGTAACTACTTAAACAAGAAATATAAAATATATCCGACTAACATATTGTGATTACTTAGTTGTAGATATATATTGCATCCCCATATATACAATCTGGTACCAAAATAATTAATCTAAAGGGTTACACCGTAAAAAAAAGTAGAGGGAAACAAAAACCAGTACCAAAATAGAGGGAATATTGTTCAAAACAACACACAAAATCAGAAATTGAAAATACCCATTGAATATATACCGGTATTAAAAATATACCATTATGAAATCAACTAATACTTTTGAACGGAGTAAAGGAAATCCAAGACAAAACAAACATTCACTTTATTATAATGGTGAGAAGGTTGACAAGCAGCCGACGAACACACGACGAATACAGATGGTCTTCTATGAACTGCTACATGCGACAGCTGACAATGATAACTAAGGAGCCTTCACGCAATGAACTACTACGGGTGAATGAATGCAGCAAACGAACGAAAAAAATGGAGGTTGGGGAAGAAACGGCCCGCAACGAGAATGTGGCGGAAGAAGAAATGTTTGTAGAAGGAATTTGGGTGGGATTAAGAAACGGAAAGAGGATTTTTTGGGATCGCCGACTCAAAAAAGAAAGAAAAGATTTTTTGGGATTTGGGTGGGATTATTTGGATATTTTTTAATTTTGGAAAGTTTAAATCAACCTAAAATAAGGGATTTAAATGGTAACTTACCAACTAGACCATTTTGAATTTCATAAATCATAAAAAAAAGGATATAATGGTAAATTGTTCGCATATTCAAGTGGAATGTGATTCTCTTGCACCAATTCGTGTAATTCTATGTGAGATCACAATTTTAAGAGATGAGTTAAATTGGTTGCTTGAAGTGAGGAATCATCCCCAACCTTTACCTCCATCTCTTTCGCTCATGTTTCGCTCATGTTCTTTGCAACAAACTCGTTCATATACGCTGGAAAATTTTGAGTTTCATCTTTAGTCGTATTTCTTAGCTTTCTTATTTCTCTCAGGCTTTCACATATATTAAAGGGAGATCTCCCCTCAACGGTTGTCCAAATGACTCTAATTTAATACACTTTTTTTTTCAAAAAAAGAAAAAGAAAAAAGAAAAAAAGGTCTCACCTAGGCTTAAATATATAAGTAAACCTATAACTTCTTTCTATTAATAAACACTAATCTATTGTTTTACGGAATTATTCCATTGTAATTTTTTACTACATTAAATGTGAAACTAATAACTAACCATTTTAAAAGAACCCTTTGATTTTTGTTTATCTTTGTCAGATAGATATTTTTAGGCTTTTTAATTTTCTGAAAATGAGGGAAAAAATCCATGTGGATATTTATATATATTTCTACCGCTGCCGCCGAGGCGTGGGAGAATATCAGCGTTTTTCATTTCTAGGCACGTATCTTCGAACCCTAAGCCACCGCGGAAAATCGTTATCGACAGCAGAGAGTTGCAGGAAGAGGAGAGGGAAATGTCTGGGATTGGACCGATTTCACAGGATTGGGAACCCGTTGTCATCAGGAAGAAGGCACCCAACGCCGCCGCCAAGAAGGACGAGAAAGCCGTAAACGCTGCTCGCCGCTCCGGCGCCGAGATCGAAACCTTAAAGAAATGTTTGCTCCTATTTCTGTCTCTCACTTCTGTTTACTTTCTCACATTGATGAGTTATGAACAACCTTAATCCTGCAATAGTATTCTTTTTCTTCTTTTTTTTGTTTTTTGTTTTCCTTGTTTCTGGCATGGTTCCTGATCTTAAATTTGAGATGTTATGGGGTTTTTATTTTTAGACTGAAAAGGTGTTCGATTGTGATTGAAGAGTGGATAGGATTTAATAGTGCCGCACATGTGAATGTTTGACGTTTTAATTGTGTGATGTAGCTATATGACATCTCAATAAATCCAAATGGGCATTTGTTTATTGTATTTTGAAGTTTGCTTGAATTGATAGATGGCGAATCAACGCGTCATGGACTGAATGTAGAACTTAGATTTAGACGTATTTTTATGCTGTTTTCATTATTTGTAGGTTGTCTACGTAATTTTCTTATACTTGAATTCTAATAGGCCAGTTAACTCGTCCGATGATGAATGTTGTCTTATCTTTGACAAGTGACAGCGAACTCGTACCATGTTGATTTGTTTGTTGAACTGGAAATTTGATGTTGTCTTCGTTGTTTGAGTAATGACTATATTTTGAGTTATTCTTTTGGTCTATATCTGTGTGTTGCTGATGTACTTTAATTGACTAATTATTTAATTCTTGCATTCACAAGTCTCGACCTTCTTCCCTCTTCATTAGGCCTCAATGTTAATTTGTTATAAAGCTTCTTATCGAAGTTAATATTAGAAATATTCCAGAATACATTCATTTCATATATGTTCTAAAAAGAACAGAACAAAGAAAAGAAAAGCAAAGAAAATCAGTTCACTTATTTCATAATGGGATCTGTTACCTTATTGTCTTCAAAGGTCATAGGAGGTCAAGTACGATGTGTTTTACTATCATCTTGTAACTTCATCAATCATAAGTTTAATATGTCTTTGGATATCTTGTGATTTTTTTTGCAGCTAATGCTGGGACAAACAAAGCTGCTTCAAGCAGTACTAGTTTGAATACCAGGAAGTTGGATGATGAGACAGAAAATCTTACTCGTGAGTAAATTAGATCCTAATGCCTTGTAGAGATTAATGTAGGTGGTGTTTAAATGGCAAATGATGAATCGACCTTGAAACTTGCGGTTTATTCTTTGCTCCCTCCTTACCATACTATACTATTTCTTGCTAGTGTTCAGACTTTTTTTGTTCTCATTGTTTATTGAGTACATTATGCATGTTGGTGTCTTCCGAAGAATATTTAATATGTGCCTAGAGAGCAGTATGTGAATTACAAACTGCAAATTATGTTATGTTAATTTTCAATTTTCACGTTTTCTTGGCATAAATTTTAGTTTTCTGACATGGGATATCTGCAAATTATGTAATTTTGAGATCTGGAAAGTATCTTTACTTGGAAATTTTGGGGCTTGCACTGTTATCTTTTCACATTTGAACTTTATAGTTCTTGGTGGTATTTTCTGACCATACTTATTTGTTTAGCTCTGGGAGTTGATAAATGAATCCTAGTCGTACATGAGGATAGAGGATGAAAAATTGGATAATGTATAGGTTTTATCTAAACAAAAAGGAAAGTAAATATATCGATAACTTGGAAATTAAGTTTTGTAAAAAAAAGAAAAATATTTTTTGAATTTATGGTCAACTCCCCATAACCCTTTTTACTATGTCTATTAGATGCAGCAGCTGTATTTTACCCCTAGTGGTATAAGAACAATCTACCATCATAATCTTTTCACTGTGTTTATGAAAAGACTTCGTTTCTATATATAGAACAAAAAATTAAAAGGTATAATTGAATTGGATCTAAGTTGGCTGAGACAGGGGTGGGATTCCCCTTACGCTTGGATGAATCGGCCAAATCAGTTAATTATACTGAGATAACTTTGAATCAGGGAATGCACAGCATTCTTCTCTTTTATAGTTTCCCATTGCCAAATATGTCATTTCTTAATTATAATAAAATAACAAGGAGCTAAGTTGATGTTATTTCTTTAGTTTTTTTTTTTTTAAATTTATTTCTCGTCTACTTCAACCGCAGATGATCGGGTACCAACTGAGCTGAAGAAGGCAATTATGCAGGCCCGTACCGACAAGAAGCTTACGCAGTCTCAGCTTGCTCAAGTATGTATCTTCGTTTTACATGTTTTTGTGCACCCTTTCACAGTTGTAATTGTAACTTTATTAGTATTTACTCTATGAACCTTACCTATTCCCCCTGCCCTGCTCGCGCTCAGGGGCTTACTGCATATTCTTCTTATGGAGACGTGACTGACATTTTTGTTTTTGTCGAGTAGTTGATTAATGAGAAGCCACAAGTGATTCAGGAGTACGAGTCTGGGAAAGCCATTCCAAATCAACAAATAATTACCAAGCTTGAGAGAGCTCTTGGAACTAAACTTCGTGGAAAAAAGTAGGAAGACCTCCTTTGGGTAGTGTAAGTGGTGAATTTGGCCCAAGAGCTTTGGCTTGAGACAATGACTTATATTGTGTAGTTGCTCTTCGCTGATCTTGAGTGTGTAGTGTGAATGAATTTAGCCTATTTGTCTCTTGTATCTACTTTGACTTCTAATGAATGTCGGGTCGTCCTTTCGGATTGCACACTCCATGGTTTTTCATATTTTTCCCCATCTCGTGCTGTCATGTCTCGCTAAGTTGCCTCTTAATCGAAAATTCGAAATGGAACCATTCTAGGTGATGATTTTCACTCAGTCATTGCTGTTGCTCTCTCTTTTCTCTTGCTCAGTTTAATATCATGCATAATGAATTATTGGAATATCCTTTGAATGTAGTTCCTTCTGATCGCCCTCAGGTGGGTAATCTTCTTCGCTCTTCTTTTTTTAATGAGTAGATTTCTTTAGGAAAATTACTCATTGGCCGTGTAGAAATTCAGTTTCATGTTATTTTGTAACATAATAGGTCTTCAATAAACTTGACTCTCTGACGTTGCATCGGGGTTATGCACAATACTTTCCAAAGAAAAGAAAAAGGATGTCATAGGTTTCATTTTGTAGCTATAACAATTCATGAAAAAAAAAAATTAATACATACAACCTCTTAATTGGAGGTATGGGTCAATCCTATCCATTAATTGATGGTAATATGATGAGAATTAAAATGCATGTAAATCGAACTTTGTTTTTTTAGTAAATGTAAATCAAATATTACTAATAGTTGATGGTAATATGATGAGAATTAAAATGCATGTAAATCGAACTTTGTTTTTTTAGTAAATGTAAATCAAATATTACTAATAGTTTACCTGAACCTTCGTTTAGGTATATGTAGCCGTCAATAACTATTACGATTCTTTTTTCGGAAATATATAATAGAGTTATTCATATTTAGTCTTATATTTTAAAAATTTTTGAATGAAAATTTGAACTTTGATTTTACTTTTTAAACTTCCTTTCTAGAGGAGGTAGGTCTTTGTATTCCTTATATAATATTTTCGACAAAAGAAAAGGGAAGATAAATAAATATGTCTAATCTAATGTACTTTAAAGATATTGTTAATAAATAAATTATATAATTATTAATTTTATGACAAGTAACAAATGGAAAAAAAAACAAATTTTACTCTTAATTTTAATGAAAACTAAGTTTGACATAAAATTAAGTTAAATGAAGGTGCAAAATTTTAAATTTTATCGATCAAAATTCACAATTAAAAAAAAACTACTCTAGTGTTATTTTTCTCTAAAATTATATCCCAGTGATACATTTTTTAAAAATCGATCGGAAGCAATACTCATTCAAATTTAAAATAAAGATTGCAACAATTTTTTTAAAATTTAAAATAAAGATTGTAATATATATATATTTTTTTTTTCTTTTTTTAGTACAACATAAAAGGGTGAGAGATGAAACTCACAAATGGAGATATATGTCAATTCTATATTGGTTTCGACGATTGTACATGTATTCAAAATTTAAGGTGTAATATGACCAAATTAAAAGTTTACAGTAAAAAATGGATATATTTGGGCAGGATTAATTTTTTCATTTTTTTTAAAGAGGAGTAAATTTCAATTGGTTATTCAAAAAAGAAAAAAATAATAATCGAGCTCCTTTGCTGGGAAAAAAAAAATTAATCGAGCTATTCAAAGCATATATTTTCACCCGGGTAACCGGAAGAGTGAGGTACGGATCCTCGGTCCACTTCTAAGTTCTAACCACAGAGGCTTCAGCTGGGTTTTCTTCTTTCCGTTTCCGATCGGAAAAACGAAATTGCAGGTAAAATTCGATTGTTCTTCCGGCGTTAAATTCTGTTATATTTGCCATTTGGGTAAGGCTTTGTTCAGTTTCATATTCTACGATGTATTCAACGAAAACGGAACAAGAATGATTGAAGTTTTTGGATCCTTCAGGTTGTAAAATCTTCTCTTGCTTGAATCTGCAGAAGTTCCATATCTCTTTCTAACGTTTGTAGGTCTAAGCTGTGCTCAATTCCAATGGAAAATTCGAAATAATTTTTTAATGTACTGCTTAATGACGTATATATTCTTCTAAATTTTACCTTTTCAATGTAGGGATAGCCCCATCGATGAATTAGTTCTTTTAACTCTGTAATTTTGTTCCAGTAGAACTAACTTTAAGCTCATTTTTAGGCGATTTTGATGTGCAGGGTTATATCTGATTGAAAATCAACATTCGATGCATTAAGCAGTCGGAAGACAGGTCCTTGTCTTCTGTTCCGTTCGCACGTCTATTAGCTAAATATTAGTAGACTTCTTTAGGTCTGTGGTTTTGCATCCTCTGCTGAGGAGTTTCAGCCTAACGCATGGCTTTGCTTGATGTCACAAGGTCATGCCTTGACTCCATTAACCAGGTAAGTCTATTAATAATAATTGTGGGTACCTTCTCTTTAATTTTGAACTTCAGCAAACCGTTCTTTTTTCTTTTTCTTTTTCTTTTTTTTTTCTTTGAAATCTTTTAGTCATTGATGCTGTTTCAGCTCCCCTCATTTCTGGTCGAGTTTGTGTTTTGGAAGTTTGCATTTTTCCATCTATCCAATGAAGGAGTTTTGTGTTTATTTTTATGAATTGGTTTTATAATCATACTTAAGACGTTTTGCTCAAAGGAGAAGTATGGCTGGTTCTAACAGTAAATTTCATGTTTTTTGTGGATATTTGATTATAATCCTTGCATCCTGGATGCCCATGCTAATTCATCGAAAGTGGTACTTTTTGGTACTGACACTTTAGGATTATTTGCCTTCACGCGCTGATTGTTAGGATGTGAAAGCTCGATGGTGTTCTATCTATCCGGTTTATATAATGTTATCTCACTGTTTTGGCAGATATCAGATCACATTGAGGGCTCAATACTTTATCTCGATGCTGGGTGTGTGGAGAGTTTCCAAACTCTTGGGGGATTCCCGTTATTACTGGACCATGGTGTCCATGTTGTCTGTAGCTTGGAAAATCTGACTTCTCTTGATGCTGTAAGATAGTTGTTCTTGAGGTTTTACAGAAGGTTAAATGTTTCTCATCCTGCGTTTATATTGGAGTTTTTTTATTTTTTATTACCACCCCAAAAATTAAAGGGTAGAAATAAAACTTTTAAGTTCAATAATTTGACGAACTGAAACTTAGTGGTTGATTCACATAAACTATCCATGATTTAGTGGGTCGCATCTATTAGATTGTGTAAAATCTTCTGATTTACCAATGTTGTTTTATCATAAATTGTGGAAACCTCTTTTAGGTGGTTGATTGGAACCCAGCTTCTGCAAAGAAACTTGTGGTGATTACATCCCGTCTTCTAAGTGATGCACATCGTTATATTTTACGCTGCCTGACTGCGCATCAAGGTGTTCATCATTGTACCATATTTACATCTATCTCAGAGGTACTTCTTTTAAACTGTTTATTGTGCTTCATTTCCCTTGCATCTTGTATTTGCTTTGAATACGAGGTAGAACTAGGGTGCTATAACTGTGAAGACTTTAAACTTAAGCAATTAGATCCAAATAAGTAAATTTGATTAATAGCTTCTTCACTGCAATCAAATACTTTGCAGATTGCTCACTCTGCATACCCTGATTCACCTCTGGGACCAGATGCATACCATGAGTATGAATCTTTACTTATCCAAGATTATGAGGAGCTTGTTAAAAAAGGTGAAAAAAAAGCTGTACAGTCAGAAGACAGGAACTTGGAAAAGTATATATCCTCGGAAGATGAAGGATGGTCACGACTCACTTCTAGTGAAGAGGACATCACTCACCTGGAAGCTAGTTCAAGTGGAAGAGATTCGTATGAAGATATTCTGACGAGTCACCGAGAAGATGTAGGGCAAAAGCTCGTTGTTTCCGTGCATCACTTCCCCATGATTTTGTGTCCATTTTCACCAAGAGTTTTTGTGTTGCCTTCAGAGGGATTAATTGCTGAAGCATGCTTGTCAGCAGAAAGTGAGAATTCCCTTAGTCCTGGTTTGCCTCCCTTATACACTGGGTTGCCTCCCTTATACACTGGGTTGCCTCCTGATGGTGATGACGTTCCTCCTGGGGCAACTCTTACTGCACATTTTCTTTACCATTTTGCTGCCAAGGTAATACCTCTGCACATGGTTAAGTCAAAATGTTTCCTATACTTGTTCCTTTTCATGGTTTTTATGTCCCGAGCTTCTATGGAAGTATGTTCTCTCTGTTTTTCGCTGAACAACATGAAAAAGGCTGAACCATAAGTTACTATTGAAGCTGAAGAAAGAAAAATCTTGTTAATACATCCATTGCCGAACTTTTTGTTTCTTTACTAAATTGCGTCTAAACTTTTGAAAACTAAAAATTGGTGTCTGTCTCATATACATGTTAATTCTTACATATATAAATATATTTCCTAAAAACCAGTAGAATGACTTTTACTAGACTTTTGTTAGAAGTCTAAGATCTGTTTTGTTTAGAATATGTAGCCTATTAGTTCTTTCCTATCATTACATGTTTTTGGTCTTTGAATGAATAGAGTAAAATCATTGATTTCAGATTTCACGAGTTCCAATTTCCATTTTCGTTTGGCCCTTTTTTCCAAGTTAAGAAATTTTTTTATCATGGGTTTCCATCTTGATAATTCTCTTCAATGCATTAAATTAAGTCTAGTGATTTAAACACCTCCTAGAGACCTTGCAAAGTCGATGCCCATTTCAGCAACAAAAAAAAAAAAAAGTCGACTTTGACGTATCTATAATTGATTTATTTTTATTATTTTTTAAATGTATGAAATCTATAATAGAAATTCAACACATCTATACTAGATGAAAATAAAATGGTTATTTATTATGTAGACTTGGATGAAAAGTTCATTTTTTCCTTGTAATATTGGCCATAATTATTCTTTCTCAATAATGTAGATGGACTTGAAGATGGAAATATTTTCCATTGGTGATCTGTCAAAAACTGTTGGAAAGATTTTGACAGATATGTCTAGTCTTTATGATGTAGGCCGACGCAAGAAATCAGCTGGTCTTTTACTAGTCGACCGCACTCTTGATCTTCTTACTCCATGTTGTCATGGCGACTCGCTTGTAGATCGCATGTTTTTGTCACTGCCTCGTAGAAAAAGAATGGCACCCTTTACCCATGTAAAAGGTCCAGAAACTTCCCTCAAACATGGTCCACCTATCTGTAGACGAGCGCCTCTTGATGTTCGGATACCATTAGCAGAAATTCTTACTGAAGATGGAAGTAAAGCTGATAAATTTCGGCTTGGAGAGAGAATTGAAGTTTTCCTGTCTGGATGGAATTCTGGAAACTCAACTTCCCAAAATATTGACAAGAGTGGTGAAAGCAACAGAGATCAAAATGGTCAATCACTATTTTATGACCCCGAGATACTTAGTGGCTGTTTTGTCTCTTCCGAGAATTTTCGAGGAACTCCATACTTGGAAGCAATACTAGATAGGAAAACAAAAGATGGAGCTGTGCTGATAAAGAAGTGGCTGCAAGAAACTATGCGTAAGGAAAGCGTAGTTGTGAATGGGAAAATTCGACCTGGGGTTCCTTCCAAATTGGAGTTGGAATCTATTATCAAGGCACTGGCTAAAAGCCAGAGTTGTTTGTTGAAAAATAGAGGAATTCTTCAGCTAGCTGCTGCTGCAACAGTTGCACTCGAGGAATTAAACAGCACTCGATGGGACGCCTTTCTTAGTGCAGAAAAAACATTGCGTGCAAGTGCTGAAGACACTACCCAGGGTCTGGCTGCACAAATTGTTGATCTTATAAACAAAAGTGTCTTGGTCGGTAAATTAGAATCTTCAAAGGGTGTCCTTTCATTTCAAGATTCTTTGCTCCTTACAATTACTGGTTATATATTGGCTGGTGATAATTTCCCAACATCTGGGCCCGATGGTCCGTTCTCTTGGCAAGAGGAGCATTTCATGAAAGAAGCTATTATAGATGCTATTTTAGAAAATCCAGTGGATGAAAGGTTGAAGTTTCTCCATGGTTTAATAGAAGAGCTTGAGACGAACCGAGAAAGGATCAGACTGAAGGGATCAAAAGAGACGTCATCGAGCAAATTAAAAGAGGACGACTTTGACGATCAGTGGGAGAGCTGGGGTGATGAAGATGCTGATATTAACACTAATAATGAGGAAGTATATGATGACATGCAGCTGAAGTTGGAGTTGCGGGATCGGGTGGATAGTCTTTTCAAGACACTTCACAAGTTGTCCAGTTCAAAGACGAGGAATTTACTGTTGAAGGAGACGTTAAATTCGGAAAATATGCTTCATGGTGATCAGTATGCAAATAAAGGAGTACTTTACAAGCTTCTGGCTAGAATCTTAAACAAGCATGATTTACCCAGTTTAGAATATCATTCCTCCACTATGGGGCGACTTTTCAAAAGCGGGTTTGGAAGATTTGGTCTTGGACAAGTAAGTTTTAATTCACGTAAGTGTTAAAACTAGATCTTTCTTATTCAAATGGTCTAAATTTTGGAGTTTGTTTTTCAGGCAAAACCTAGCCTTGCTGACCAAAATGTCATTCTAGTTTTTGTTCTGGGAGGCATCAATGGCCTTGAGGTATCTCTTTTACAAGAAAATGTAGCTAGCACTTTTATACACTTGATCTGTGAGAGAAATTAAAAATCTCTCTTTTTCAAAACACGCACCCACTTAGTCTTTCTCTTTCGAGAAATTATTTAAAGGGTTGGAACAATGCAGCTGACACTTCATACTATTAGAGAAAAATTGAAACTTGTGTTCTGATTCTGCATTCGGTTCAATAGTCACATTGAATAATTTTTCTTCTCTTAACACGCACTTTTTCTCACTCACACACGCGCACATAAAATGCCATTCAAGTTGGTCGACAGATGGTCTCGAGTTGAAACATTCAAGCAAAACATGATGGTTATACTTATTTGCCAGGTTCGTGAAGCTCAGGAGGCATTGTCTGAGAATGGAAGACCAGATATAGAACTGATTATTGGTGGAACAACCTTCCTCACTCCTGATGCCATGTTTGATCTATTGCTTGGGGATTCAGCCTACGTTTGATCCCTTTTGAATTCGACTTTTCCAACCTTCCTGTTTAATCCTTGTGTTAATCATACTCTTTTTTACTAAACATTGTACACATGATTCTCACCCAGCATTACTTTTTATCCTTTGAACCAATTAATTAGAATTTATCATCTCATTTGAGTCTGTTGTTGAAACCAATGTGTTGTATAGTTTTTTTTAGCACGGGAGTGGAGATCTAAACTCATGACTTTTTAGTCAAAAACAGGTATCTTAATCGGTTGAGTTATGATATTTTTTTAGCACATGTGGGGTGGAGATTTGAACTAGTAAAAAACAGATACCTTAACCAGTTGAGCTATGTTCATATTGATTGTTGTATATTTTTTTAAGTTATATTTTTACATTATTTTTTAAATTGGTTAAAAATTGGGAGAGCCACCAAGGGGTAGTCCAGTTGACAAGGACTTGGAAGTTCTCTTTGTTCATGAACTGGCTTAGAAGTCTAAGTTTTTGAACTTTCAGACGAACTTAATACCAAAAACTCTTGATGTCTCTCGGGTCTAGACTTTGGGGCGTCTCTCGGGTCTAGATTTTGGGGCGAGTGCGGGTGCTCTGAATATAGAGGAGTAAAGTTCCGACTTCTGGTTATAAGATAAAAAATATATATATGTTCAAAATTGGGAGAGAGTGAAATATAAACCTGAAGGAGAGGGGTTGGCGGTAATATGATAAGAAAACAGGGACTAAAGTGCAAAGACTTCTCCACTTTACCATTCTCCGCGCCATAAGATAAAAGACGACCACAAAAGGGCACGGAAACAGAGAGAGTGGAGTAGGGAGTGTGTGTTTGTCAGTACTACTCAGCGCTCACGACTGAGCCACTGCTCGCACTCCTCCTCCGCTCTCTCTCTCTCTCTAATTCTAAATCTCAGTTCCTCGTGGCTGGGCTAGGGTTCGCTGTTTGGATCTGCAGCAATGGAGCTGGAAGACGAGTACCGAAGAAAAGAGCAGCTCGTGCTTGTGGCAATTGTGGTCCTCGCCTCCCTCGCTCTCGTTTCTTTGCTCGTTGCTTTCAGCTATTACTGCTACATCAGCAATAAGGTCTCGAAGCGCCTCAAGATCCGCAAAAGTACGCCTCATTTGGTACCATTTTTTTCTTTCCCTTCATTTATGCTTTTCGCTGCTCAGCTTTAGACAACGCTTCGAAAATGGAAGGAAATGCATTATTTCATTTCAATTCTCTCTTCTCGATTGTCTTCTTGAATAGGTAAACGACGAGTATTTCATGCTGTATGTATGTAATAAGAACTATGGGGATTAAGGGTTGAACAAAACTTGTCGGCTCAACGGTGTGGTCCAGTCTATTGGAGCTTCTTCTTATTGTTGTGTAATGTAATTAATGCATTTATTCAAATGATCAGTTGGCATATCAGTGTCACGCCAGTTGTATATTTCCTTAAGCGCAATTCATTAATAGCTAAAATAGAATAATGAAATTGAAACTTTTTGGAAGTACGTAGATGAATATGACACAATCTTAGAAGTATGAATACGAAAGGTGTAATTTAATCTTATTTTTGGAAATGCCTTGAGATACAAATTTTAGAAGTTTACCCATTTTTTTTGCTATCCGTTAACGTTTGAAAAACTCTTAAATTACCTTACGTTTCTTTTTCTCTTCTTGGTAAGTGGTCATTTTCTTTATTGGGCTGGGTCAAGAAATCGTGATTCAGTCCAGGAACTAAACATACACGCATGTTAGATAATGCACTTGAACGACATGCCATCCCAGTCAGTCCAGAACTCTGAAATACTTCGAAATGACATCGTTTATGTCGCCTGTTATTGGTTCCTAGATGAACTTGGTTTTCGCTTTTAAACTTTAATTTTTCTGCATATATCAGCAAACTGATGAGGCATTAGTTGACGTGTGCTGGTAATTCAATTCTTGAAGGGGGTGATTTTGAAGATGGAGGTAGTTTTGCAAATGTTAAAGAATTTTCCACTGAGAAAGGGCTCCAATTGTTCACCTTCAAGCAGCTACACTCAGCAACCGGTGGTTTTAGCAAGTCAAATGTAGTCGGGCACGGTAGCTTCGGTCATGTATATCGAGGAGTCCTCAATGATGGGAGGAAGGTTGCAATTAAGCTTATGGATCAAGGGGGGAAGCAGGGAGAGGACGAATTTAAAGTGGAGGTATTTCCTATGGACTCATTTTGCATACTTTGGCTCTTTTTATTTTGAAGAAATGGGCTCCTTCCGCATAAAAAGCTGTTGAGCTTATTTTGGACACTAATATAATACTCAGTTCCTTTTAAATTTTGATAATTGGGTGATTGTTAATTCAGTTTATGTGATCAGTTGTTAACCTTATGAATAGGTGGAATTGTTAAGTCGGCTTCATTCGCCATATTTGTTGGCATTGCTTGGGTATTGCTCAGATCACAATCACAAATTGCTGGTATATGAATTCATGGCAAATGGCGGTCTTCAAGAACATCTATACCCTGTTAGCAGTAAGTATAGACATTTCTGACTATTTGATGCTTTTAATAGAATAAGCTCATTTTAACGGGACCTTCAATCCACTAGTTGTCCCGCACCCGCATCTTCAAAATGAAGGGAAAACCTCTTTTAAAGTTGAGGCACATCGACCTTGGATTTACAACCGTAGGCGACTAAATTATTAGTTTATTTTTTGTTTTCATTCGTGAAATTTTACGTCCAGGTTCACATTCTGTTAGCGTTAAGTTGGACTGGGAAACAAGGCTGAGAGTTGCTCTTGAAGCTGCCAAAGGTTTGGAGTATTTACACGAACACGTAAGTCCCCCAGTAATTCATAGGGATTTCAAGAGCAGCAATGTCCTGTTGGACAAAAGCCTCCATGCCAAGGTTTCTGATTTTGGATTGGCAAAGATTGGCTCAGATAAAGCCGGGGGGCATGTCTCCACTCGAGTCCTGGGGACACAGGGATACGTCGCCCCTGAGTAAGAACCTCTTATCCCACCTGTGAAATCCTTCAATCGATGAATTTTTCCTGATTGTTGTTGTTTTGTCATGTCACTGTCGTGAAACCTTTGATACTTTTTGGTTTGTGTAATTGAATTTCCTTCTGTACTATAGCTTTTAAGTATAAGGTCACTTTTTTTTTTTCTGCAGGTATGCGCTAACAGGGCATTTAACAACCAAGTCAGATGTCTATAGTTATGGGGTTGTCCTCTTGGAGCTGCTTACAGGCAGAGTTCCAGTTGATATGAAGAGAACTCCTGGGGAAGCTTCCATTGTTTCTTGGGTAGGCTTCTTAACCACTTCAATTTTTGAAAATTTCTTGTGATGAAAAATGATGCTCTATGACCAAAGAAGTTGTAAATGTTGTACCCAATTTTCAACCTACCATCGATGACTCGGAACTTTGATTTCTAGTTTCTTAAACTAAATACTAATTTCTCGTTACATTCGAATGATTGGTGTGTCAGGCTTTGCCAAGGCTGACCGATAGGGAGAAGGTGATGGATATAATGGATCCTTCACTGGAGGGTCAGTACTCCATGAAGGATGTGGTTCAAGTAGCAGCAATTGCAGCCATGTGTGTTCAACCGGAGGCGGACTACAGGCCGCTGATGGCTGATGTTGTCCAATCACTGGTTCCACTGGTGAAAAATTTTAGGACAACTTCAAAGATCGGTAGCAGTTCTAGTTCCAGCGCTACCAAGTCACCTACACCACACGACAATGCCAGTTCAGGAGACTGAATCAAAGTGCAAGTTGTCTCTCGACGGTCGTTTCTTGTTAGCTAATGTAGATTTTAGACTATTTTGAGCTGTTGTAAGAAATCTATATCTGTATGCTAACCGTTTATTGTTTTCGCTGAAGGCAGTTACCGACCACGTCGGTGTCTCGTGGAAGGATCCGAATTCATAGAATGTGCAGTTGATCCCCCATTAGTTGTAATGTAATTAACGTTGGAAATGGGGAAGGCTTTTTTTAGATTGTAGGCTACCTGACCCTTATTTTCAAAATACAAAAGCTTGTATTTGTATTTGAATTCATAGATTGTAGGCTTTAAGTGTAATTGATGGCTCTGTAAAATAACTGTGTTGAACTGATTGTTTGGACCATATAGTTGTTTTTTGTCAAATAATCTTTAAGAATTGTTATTGAATGACGTAGAAATGATCTAAGTTATCATACAACTATTTATTCAAGAAGTTGTTTTAAGAAATGGGTCATATATGAGTGAATATAAGTTATGAACAAATAAGGAAAAGATAAAATTTGAAAAGTAATTAATCAAACTTATTTTGCTTTACTTTTACTATAATTTTTTTTGTTGTTAAAAAATTCGTACACAACTTATTCTTTTGTACTTGTCTCCTTCTAAAGATGGATTCATTTCTCGTTGGTGAGCAAGTTAAAAAAAAAAACATGAGTTTGATTTTCTGATTTGAGCATGATTTTGATTTCTTTGATACTAATTTTTACCTCTAATTTCTTCATCTATTAAATCAGGCATTACTTCGCTCTTGGCCGAACTTTTTTTTTTTTTTTGCAGTCAAAGCACGTGATGGAATGATCATTTAACACTAAATGATGAGGCCGTTGGATCACGTGCCTTAACAGTAGTAAAAACCTTCTGCCAAGGCTAGAGTTTTGGTAATGTTCTATTAAAAACATGTTTGAGAGTGATTTTGACTCTAGCTAAAATCATTTGTGCTATCTTATAAAATCACTTATATAAAATGTATTATAAATTATATAATATTATAAATAGTAATTATATAAAATTTATAATAAAAATGTTAATAAATTAATTAATATTATTTTAGATTCAACTAAATATTTAGTTAATAACTACCACTAGTTTACAAATACATTATTAAACACATCTTGAACAATTTTTTGAATTAAGATTCAATTTCTAAATCTGAAAAAAAAAATACAACTCTGTTCTTTTTAATGAATTCTGTACCATTATCTTCTCTCACCCTTCCTATATTTCTCCCTCCTACTAATTAAAGTCAACATAAGTATTAGAAAAAAATTATAGTACTATAGGAGTATCCCTTTGTTCACACTATTTTTTTCTCTATAAATAACTATTTAATATTGTCGGACACTATTTTTAAATATTATTGACTTAGATGACAATGTACATGAATAGCATGTTTTTGTAGTACTAGAAATTTTTTCGTAAGTATTATCCTCATACGAAACTCATCAAATTCATAAATAAATATTTATTAGTAAATTCAAGTATAACTTAATTAGTTACGACATATTTTTTTGGATAAAAAGGTAGATATCTGAATCCCCACTCCAACCGTGTTCAACTCAAGAAAAGTATATTATTTTTTTAAATTATTTAGAGGAAGAAAAAATATATATATAAAATTGAAAATAACAATACTAGTGGAGACCACCCACGATCTACCTCGCTGTGGAAGTCAAAGTCAGCCGCTATCATCATCCGGCCGTAAAACAGACGAGCAAAAGTTGGAAGGTCGGCGATTTTCGGTCAATACGACCACTTTGCTTACCTGTGAAGCCGGTTCCCGGTAGCAACAAAACAATTACAGCACACATGGCTCGAACTTTTTCGGCCAGCAAATCATATAAATAAAATAGCAATAAAATTTGATCATATAACTTTTAGATCCATCTGCATTGACAGTACAAAATAGAAAGTTAAATCCAACTATGATATATATCTCCGATCAAGAATATGTAGATTTAATAATTCATCCCACGACAAAATAAAATTATATTAATTGATATTTTTATTATATTTAAGAAATATCTGGTTGATTTCTCAATATCCATATCTAACTCTTTTATAATGTGGATCGAAATATCTAAAAAAAAAAATGTGGATCGAACAATTCAATACAATATTTAGTGAATGGGTCAAACTTCTATGTCCATAAACATTCAAGCATATATATCTTGAACCGGGATTTTCGGCTTCATGCCTTCTGTTTTGTTGAATCCAAATTGGAAACTCTCTCTTATTATATTCTCTAAATTTGCCAATTGGGTTTTGGATTTTAACGATTCCAGCTTGCATCAAATGATAAAGTTGAAGGACAAAATCACAAATAAAGTAAAATAAAAGTAATTACCCACTTGATTGAAAACTAGAAAAACAGGGCCACCTTTCTTACCATTTGGAGTTTTAATCTTAGGTTTTTTCCGTGATTGTTGAAGTCAATTTGTGCGTATCTCAGCCAAAAAATTTTGTAAGGATAAAATTTAAAAAAAAGAATTCCTTTTTTTCTTTTTCTCTTAACTTTGTTTGTAACTATTTTAAAATTTTAGGGGATGAATTAGAGGAAATTTTTTTAAAATTAAATTTTTTTTTTTATAATTTTTAATCTACAAATTGGTTAGGTCAAACACATAAAGCTGATTAATTCTTTCATATTTGTCAGTTTCCAGTTTCCATAAACGAAATGGAAGACTTGGTTAGATCATTCCCAGAAGAATGACACATTACAGCTCACTCTATATTGGATATCTTTGAATAAAACTTGCAAATTTAAGGCTTTTTCCCTTTTTGGGCCCACTGTTATCCAATTTTTGGATGCATAAAAATTGTCAATTGTATTATTTATTTATGTACAAAGTCTTTGCCTCTTTGCCTCCCCCAATCAATGAAGAGAAATTTTCTTCCCATTGACTGTAGCAACCATGGCACACGTTTTGGTTCTAAAGATTTTCGACTCAATTTTTTTTTCTTTTTAAAAAGGTGAAAATTTGGTTTTGTACAACCAGACATATGGTGTGTATTTAAACTTTCGACTTCGAAAAAATTACATTTACTATTGAGTTATGTTCATGATAACTTGTGAGATGAGAATTAAAATTTTCAACCAGAGAAGGACTAAAATATTAATTTATTACCTTCCATATTTGGTTTTTAAATATAAACGTGTAACTTAATTTAAATATTAGCTTAAAAAATATAATTTATAGTTGAGTGAGAATTAACAAATCTATAACCTAGACAGATAAATTCCCATATTATACCAAATGTACACTTCATCTCATAATCTCAAGATATAGAAATCTAATATGTGAGTTTTAAAGTATTTCTACTTTATTGATTTAATTTGTATATATATAATATTTTAATGCAGAAAAGCAAAAAGAAGTTTACAAAATTAAGTACATCTAGTTAAGTTTTAAATAATAACGATAATAATTATAATAATAATAACAACCTTTCAAGTTTAATCACACATAAAATTGAAATTATATCATTGACATAAATTTTTTAGTTCAACAACATGTGAGGTAGAAAGTCGACATCTTCCAACTTTTTAGTCGAGAAATATATATGACTAATTGAGATTAACCACTTAGCTAAGTTATCCTTAAAATTGATTGATTCGATAAGATGGCCATCTTGATTTTTGTGTTCATTTTTAATACTATTTGTTAATATTTACCCAGCCGTCAAGAAAGACTGTTTAAAGTTTTTTTTTTTTTTAAATACGTCAAAATCATTTTCGAGATATAGAAAAGTTATATATATCACTACCAGAATATAATGGAGTGTGGAGTATAGTTATTACGAATAAAAATATAAAAAATAAGTCAATGGCTAATTTCTAATACACATGCTTAATTGCATGGTACTATATTTTAGTACAATTGAAATTGAATGGTAATTAAACAAGTCGTAGAAACTAATGGAAGGAAACTCTAATTATAACGGGATAAAACATCTAAATTGACTAATCATTTGATGATGTGTGGGCAAAATGATCAAGCAAAATACAGATATAGATCAATTAATTAAGGTATCCATTCATACAAAAAATATTTTAAAATATTATTATCTAAATAAAGAGCGTAAATTAAAGTTTAGTCTAAATTATATCTATTGCTTAATTATATCAATATTTTAATCCCAACGTTGCCTGTTTTTTAATCTAGTCCCTATTGTTTAGAAAATTATAATTTAATAATCCTTTATGTTTTAACTTTTTTAATTTGGTCGCTGATGGTTAGTAATAAATTTGAATTTATACTAAATTCATAAATCGGTAAAAATATCACATAAGAGGAGACAATTTCTAATTCTTCCTCCAAAATTCTAAAAAGATGGTAGAAATTTTTAATTTTCATATTATATTTTTTCTTCAATAAATTTTCTATTTCACCAAATATTATGTCAGAAAAGTTTATTATCGATTCTTCAATCATTTATTAACAGCGAATGACTAAATTAAAAGATATAAAAATATAAAGAACTAAATTGAAACTCGAAGCACACTTGAAAAAATATATATGTTCCTTTTATTTGATAACTTGCAACGAGTGGGGTCTCGTTTATTTCATTTTTCCAAAGGACGGTCCAATTTGTCAAAATATAGAGATAAAACGAAAAGTAATTTAAAAGTATTGTTTTTCTCCAAATTGACAACACGGATAAGCTCATATAGTAAAGTTTTCTGATGAATTCTCGAACGAATCCTCTTTTTTTTTTCTTTATTTATTATTATTATTTTGAAAATTAGGAATCAAAACTTTGCTCTTTCATATCTAGGAGATATCTAAGTTCATTTGAAGGTTTGAACTTAAAATCTCTCGGTCGATATCATGAGGAGACCCACAAAGATTTAAATTTCAAAACATCATATTCTTAGACGATATAAATTTATTTGTAGATTAAAAAATTTAAACTAACAAAGTGTAATAACTTAATACATTTTATCAGCCATCTTTCTCAAAAAAAAAAAATACTTTTTGTTATGGAGAACAAAACGACCCGAAACGGGATAAGGAGTTGAAGTCTGAGATCATTGATTGGGGGAGACCGGCCCGTGACGTAACGGGCCAGCCCAAA